AATTATCATATATTATATCTTTTATCAATTATAATTTATAAATCAGTTACTGTTTAAAAATAAAATGTGTCAAAAACTTATTTCGGAATAAAACATAAATGGGAAATGGGAGATTTAATCTAAATTATATGATAAATATAAGTATATGATAAAACCTGATTATCTCTGAATCTTACCTTGTACATGATCTACTCCTAATTACTTGATTAATATTTTACTCCGAAACACATAATATCTCTGGGGATAACCACGATATACATACGTGTCTGTATATTCCACAGGGATATTTCTACATATAACTCTTAGATAGACCCAAATCAACTCGACTATAAACTTAACATACGATTACTTTATGATGTCAGCCATGCCTCCTTCTGCCTGTTACATAAACTTGAGTGTAAGCGTTATACCCTGAATTCGCAATTTTCAGTGGATTCAGTGGGTATCACATAAAATAAAACGAAAGGCCGTACAGAAAACTTTGTTGAGTTAACAACTCCCGAAAGAACTTTTTGGGGTATTTAGCAGCAATCGATTTTCGTTGATTTTGGCCCCAAGCTCAACTCCAGCTCCGGCTCCAGCTCCAACTTCGTGCTCCAGCTCCAACTAGGATTCAGCTGCAGCTACTCGTCCAGGGCTGACCTTTCAACCTTTTGCGGCACGTGGCGTTGCCTTTCAGTCATCAGTGACAGCAGCAGCAGCAGCAACATCAGCATCAGCAGCAGAGGCATCTCATCATCATCATCATCTTGGATGTCTGTAAAGTTTATTTAGGCAACGCTTCGGCTACACTCTTCAATTTTATAGCAACAAATTTGCATCGTAAAAGATACCCAACCTGCCGCCCCCCTCGGCCCCACCCACAAACCAGACGATAAAAATACAAAACGTTTGTTTAGGCATGCCCCAATGACTGCCGCACACACACACACACACACACACGCACACCCACGCACACACCTATTTAGACCCAAGCCCCAACATTTTTGGCATCCATAAACTAAGGACAAAATCGTAAAAACTGAGCAGTTCATTTAAATTTTTAATATTTTTCCCCATTCGGATCTGTGTCTCTCTTTCTCGCACTCTCTCTCTCGCTTCCACTCACTCCCATAGTCACTCGCTTCTGTTTTATATGCCCCTCTTATCTGGAATCGTTTCGTTTTAAATTTATGCCTTTTAATTAAATAAAATTTACCTAGATATTTCTACTTATATTTCATCTTCTTCTTCTACAACTTCAACTTAGACTTCGACTGCGCCTAGATATATGAACTTCATAATATCCCCATCAAATGTAGATGTTTTCCTTCTTTTTAAGCAATGATTTCTTTTTCATTTTTTTTTTGCGTGATTTCATGTAGCCTTTCGCCTCAATAACAAAGCTTTTTCGGAATCTTCTTCTAGTTATACCCTGTAAAAATTGAAATTTTGTTAAGGGGGAATTTTGCGCAGATCTACAGTATATCTAAAGTAGATGTAAGTAGATATAGATATATAAGTAGACATCTTCTCATCTGTATATCAAGGTCCATAATATACCATAACATTTTTACCTCATAGTTCCCAATATCAATGAATACGAATTTACACGTAAGCTTTCTTCTTCATATTTCTGAGAAGATGAACAGAAAAGTATAAGAAAATCGTATTCTAGGCAACTTATACAAAGTTAAAAATTGAACTAACAACAAATACAAAAACTCAAAATTGCTATTCTCCCTTTACAGGGTATGTGCTCGCTGAGCACACTCGATCGTTCTCCAACTTGTTATTGTTGTTTATTCAGCATCCTTTGCCAAGCATCTGTACACGCACTCGGGATTTATTTTCACATTTATATGTATGCGGGCGGGGTATTGGTGGCCGGGTTGTTGGGGACAGGCGGGAGGCAGGAGGCGAGACGCTCGCGGCTATGTAAATTTTTCAGTAAAAATTCACTTCGTGATAATGGATTTTCCATGTCGCATACATCGCAGTAGCTGTCGCAGTCGCAGCCGCAGTTGACGTCGAGCCCCCGCCACAGCCCCCCCAGCTCCAAAAAAATAAATAACAGCAGTCGCCTCCATCCCCCTGCGCCTGCCAGTGACAATTACCCAGGCCCCCAACCCCGCCCACACTCAAGCCACATGCTGCACCATGATAGATGGCAACTCTCTCACTCTCCTTCTGTCTCGCTTTGTCTGTAGGTGTTTGCTGGCAAATTCTGAAGCTACTTGAGAATCTGATATATCAGAATTCATATGTGCATGGCAGTGTGAGTGTGTGTGACAAATAGGTAGCACTCAGATTCCAAATTTATTTTCCATTGCCGTTGTTGTTGCTGCTGTTTATTGAGCAGAAATTTTGAAATTCGGCGAGGTCTCAATTAAGTGGCAAGCCGCAGCAAGCACGCCTTGTGTAGACGGCGTGTTTACGCTCTCACGCTAGCGCATACACTGCCAAAAAGTGCCGTTAGCTGGCACAGCATTGCCAGCCAAAAAGAAGAGTGCAAGAGCGCGCGCTCTTAACTAAGGCACTCTCTTAAGCAAATAACTCTTCGTCTGCTTCCTTGCCGTTGCTTTTGTTGATTAACAGCTTCCTGTTTACACACATTCGTTTGTTTGTTTTGTTTTTGTTTTTTTTATTATTATTAAAGTTACATATGAACTTAATTAATAATCAGGCCTGTGCCCGTGTTCACTTTCACTGCGAAAAATTTAAAAAAAATGTGAGGAGTTGTTTTTATGTTTATATATGAACTTTTGATGATTTGTGTATGTGTTTGTGTGGGTGTTTTGTTTATGCAGTAAAAGTGAAACCCGGGCACAAATTTGCTGAATGAATCTGGTTTTGTTCTCATTTCTTGTTTTGTATAATTTGTTTTTAAATAATTTTATTTTACTTTTATTTTTAATTGTAATCAGT